TCTTCTACGGCGCAGACAGAATTTGAGTCACTAAAGGATGCTATGATGAAGGCACCAGTTCTCACGTTACCAGACTTTACAGAGTTGTTTGTGGTCGAAACTGATGCTTCAGGCTATGGTTTGGGAGCTGTCCTTATGCAAAAGCAGAGACCGATTGCGTACTTTAGCTATGGGTTAACACCTAGAGAGCAGTTAAAGTCTGTATATGAGAGAGAACTCATGGCTATTGTTATGGCAATATTGAAATGGAAGCACTACTTAACTGGGAGACGTTTTGTTGTTCACACTGACCAAAAGAGTCTCAAGTTCCTTCTTGATCAACGTGAAGTCACTTGAGTACCAACGCTGGTTGTCTCGTCTATTGGGCTTTCAGTTTGACATTATTTACAAACCTGGCATTGATAAAAAGGCCGCTGATGGCTTGTCACGTCAGATGCAAACCATGGAAGTTCAAGGGAGCAGTTTATGTTTGGCTTTGAGTGTGCCAGTTGTTTTACAGCTGCAAGATATTTATGCTGAGATTGACAGGGATGAAGGCATTCAGACGCTGAAACAGCAGATCTTGGCTGGGGAGGTGGTTAAAAAAGGGTTCTCTGTTATTGATGGGGGTGTTTGGTATAAGAAGAGATTGTTGATCCCACAGAACTCCAGGTTTATTCCGCTGATCATGAAGGAGCTTCATGATGGCTTACAAGGGGGACACTCGGGGATCTTCAAGACTTTGAAACGAATTCATGGTACATTTCATTGGCACAACATGCGTAAGACAGTGCAGGATTATGTGGCTCAATGTGTTATTTGTCAGACGCACAAGACATCCACACTGTCTCCTGCTGGTCTTCTGCAGCCATTGCCCATTCCAGAGGCCATTTGGCAAGACATCAGCATGGACTTTATTGAGGGATTGCCTACTTCTAATGGTGTCAATGTCATCTTGGTTATTGTGGATCGCCTGAGTAAATACGGTCATTTCTTTGGCCTGAAACATCCATTTACTGCCACAACTGTAGCAGAACTCTTTGTCAAGGAGGTTGTCAAGTTACATGGGTTTCCTGCTTCAATTGTGTCAGACCGGGACAAGATTTTTCTCAGTGGATTCTGGCGTGAGTGTTTCAAAGTTGCAGGCACGACTCTGAAGTACAGCACTGCATTTCACCCGCAAACGGACGGACAAACATAGATCCTCAACCGTTGCCTTGAAACGTATTTGAGATGCTTCTCTTCGTCTCATCCTAAGACGTGGAGCAAGTATCTAAATTGGGCCGAGTATTGGTATAATACGAGCCATCACACTGCTATTGATACTACACCCTTCAAGGTCGTATATGGTCGAGATCCCCCGTCTATTCTGCCGTTTGAGAGAGGCTAAACAATGAACTATGAACTGGAACAGGCTCTGATTGAGAGGGATAACCGACTGTCTGATCTGAAAGCAGCGTTAGCTCGTGCTCAGGAATCTATGAAACGTGCAGCTGACAAGCACAGGAGAGATGTCTCGTTTAATGTGGGAGATAAGGTATTCTTGAAGTTACGTCCGTATCGCCAACAATCTGTCACACGTAGACTGTGCCAGAAGTTAGCAGCCAAGTTCTATGGACCGTTTGAAGTGTTGGAGAAAGTGGGACAGGTAGCGTATCGCTTACGGCTTCCCGATGGCTCGCGAATCCACCCTGTGTTCCATGTCCAACTTAAACAAGCAGTGGGAAACTCTTTTCCAGTCACGCCACTGCCATCGTCCTTCTTGGTTAATGGCGAGTTCGTGATTGAACCAGAGAAGGTGTTGGACACACGTTATACAGCTGAGGGTCGTCTTGAAGTTTTGGTCCAGTGGATGGGTTTACCTCAACATGAGAGTTCTTGGGTGTTGGGATGGGAGTTAAACAATCAGTTTCCATCTTTTCAGCTTGAGGACAAGCTGCGTTTCATAGGGCACGGTATTGATACGTTGCAGAGGGTTTACTTCCGTAAGAAGAAACAGAGAAATGAAGTGGTGGTTGGTCAAGAGAGAGTTGACTGCGAAGGAGAGACTAGTGGAGAGACTCTGGATTGAAGAGAGGGTTTAATATGGAGTAAGAGAAGCAAAGACTCGAGTGGGAGCAGAGGCTTTGCGTATTAAATAAATCGTTATTTCTGTTTANGAAACAGAGAAATGAAGTGGTGGTTGGTCAAGAGAGAGTTGACTGCGAAGGAGAGACTAGTGGAGAGACTCTGGATTGAAGAGAGGGTTTAATATGGAGTAAGAGAAGCAAAGACTCGAGTGGGAGCAGAGGCTTTGCGTATTAAATAAATCGTTATTTCTGTTTATTTATAATGACGTTGTGTGAGTCATTACTTTCTCATGCTTAAAGTTGTTGTTAGTAGCGTCGCCATGAGACCTGCATCTATGATCGTCATGAGATCATAGGACAACTTTGCTATTTTGTACTTATCGTTGTGATATTCTAAACGATCGGAGCTTTCTCTTTCTTTTGAGTATAACTTTTCTTATTTCACGTACAATCGAGTTTATGGGTTTCGTAGTACAGAAGTAAGATCTTAACATAAACCTTAATGGTTGTAACCACCAAATACCATTCGAATCTTTTTTGTTGGAATCATTATGAATCAAGTCTTAATAGTTGTAGCCACCAAATCATGTTATGATTCCACCTAATTAAAACCTATAAATATGCTAAACCAACATGTGTAAGGCTGGCAAACTCGGTTCTTATCGTCTGGTGGCAAGGAAACACTCCTCAAACCGAGTGCTTTGGCGTTACCTACGTACACGATGTCTTTCTTTCTTCTCCCAAAACCCCCCCCCCATCAAAAAGATCATGGGCATCATATCAATTTTTTGGTGGAAAAGAAAGAAAGAAGGTAAAGGTCTACACTGGAAGAGTTGAGATCAGTTTACAAGACCGAAAAGCATCGGACGACTAGAATTTAAAGACCTAGAGGTCCTTAATCTTTCATTGTTGGGGAAACAACTATGAAGAATGCTTACTCACAAGGAATCTTTGATGCTGAGAGTGTTCAGAAGTAACTATTATGCCAAGGCAGATCCACTGACAGCTGGTCTTCACGTCCATCCTATGCCTAGAGAAGTATACATGTGGCCCAAAGACTTATCAAGCATGGAGCACGAGTAGTGATAGGAAATGGAAAGAGTACAAGTGTCTAGCAGGAGCAATGGCTGTGTAAGAAACCAGCAAAACGAGTGCAAAGCTTAAGGTGGAATGAGAGTGCAAGACTCATGACCCTTTCCAGCGAGCTAACAGTGAATGAGCTTATGATTCAACAAACACGGGAATGGAACATACCACCATTACAAGAGCTTTTCACTGATGAAGTTTGTAGGATGATAAGAGATGTGAGCCACTCAGCGAGAACACATACTGTTGGGATTATTCTAAGACTGGACACTACACGATCAAGTTTAGTTATTAGGTGCAACAAAACATCATGCAAGGAGATCAGTCGCAAGTATTGATCATCCAACCAAGCTTAGATTTCATATATCAAATTATATGGCAGGTGAAAACAATCCCAAAGATCCATAATTTCTTGTGGAAATGCCTAAGCAACACGTGTAGCTGAAAACATAACAAGAAGACATATAGCAAAGGAAGCGGATTGTCCCCGCTGTTCTTATGGACCAGATTCGATCAATCACATGCTGTTCCAGTGCCCATTTGCAAGATTGGTATGGGCATTATCGACCATCCGGCTCCTTCAGGGGATATGACATCAAATTCACTCTTCTCTAATATATATTATTTGTTAACGCTGAGCAAAAAGTATCAGAGAGAAGAGCTGAATGATGATATGATACCATGGCTTTTGTGGAAACTGGAAAAACCAAAATGAACTTATTTACAAAGGACATGAATATGACGCCCCTTGCATAATCCAGAAAACAAAAAAGGATGCAATGGAATGACACAGTGGTAATGAGGCTGAGAAAAAGAAGGTCACAAAGCCTCCTGCAACCATACCACTAGGCCGATAGAAACCTCCACCAACTCAATGGATCAAATGCAATACAGATGACTCATGGAGCAATAGAGAAGGAAGGGGGGGGGGGGGAATAAGATGGTTAAGTCGTTATCATAGAGGAATAATGGTGCGGGCAGGGGCGAGAATGTAATCAAATTTGGGGTCAGCTATCGAAGCTGATCAGGCTGAGGCAATCAGTTGGGCTATTGAAACCATGATAACATTTCAATACCAAAGGGTAATTGTGGTGTCTGATTTGCAGGTGTTGGTTTGCATGATCAGAGGAGAAAAGGAGGTATGGCCTATTTTACAATTGATCATCATACATACCATCCGTAAAACACTCTCAGCCCACCTAGATTATAAGGTGCTATATCAGCAAAGGGGAGAAAATATGGTAGAAGATAGGATAGCTAAGGAGACTTTTTTCATTCATGAATACCCTAGGTTGATATAGACTTTTTCATCTCTAAAGATAGCATGATATAGCTAAAGAGACTTTTTTCATTCATTCATGGATAGCTAGGTTGTATTCTATAGTGCCTTCTTGGTTAAGGTATATTGTAGAGGTTGACAAAACTGTGTAAGGACAATCTATTGGATAATAAAAGTTTATATTGAGTTAAAAAAAAATAACATAGAAAAACTGGTCAGAAGTCTTTAAGAATGGTGATTTATGTCAAGAAACTGATTGGTAGTAGTAGCAGACATGCTTTTTCAGTGCCAAGAAATCGTGTTTTGTATCAACAACAGGGCCCAATATTTTTGATACATAAGATTGACTCTGTGTCAAGTACTCAAGTAAGTTTGTAAACTGATCATTTGGTCTTTCTCTCAAAGTATGATATTTAAACTGATTGAAGAAAATTAAAATCCTCCAGCGTTTTATAATAACAAAAATAAAGCTACATTGATCATAAACTAAAATCACTCACAATTTTGAATTATTATACATGAAACCTGGGAGAGGCTCTACTAAAACATAAACGAGATGCACACCTGATATAAAAAAACTCTCTTCACTACTTAACATTACACTTCCGACTCGCACGGTTATAGACACTTATCAACCTGCTTGTTTTCGCCCCTGTCATCTCCTCATGCGTATACTGCATCCTAGGTAACATATTTATTGCCGCACGTTTCGGATGTGTCTTATATTCTTGTGGCACCTCCTTACCTCCGAAAAACCATGCCAAGACTCTGTTAAATCCTAGTGGAGGCTTCTCAGAGAAGTTCGGATCTTTACCGAACTTAATAACCGCATCTAGGTCACGTAAGAGCATGTCTTCCTTCATAAGTTTGTCCTCTAGGTTATTCCTTGTCTTATTGAGGCAACGCTTGATCCTCTTCTGCGATGCGACGTCAGGATCATAAGGACTGACCAAATAGTACTTGTCGTTTAAAACTCCACCAGAGGAAGACCCCTTTTCAGCTTCAGGTCTAATCTGATACGATGGCGTGACCTCCACGCTTTCTTCGCGTTTGCGTTTGAGTAAACGGGAATCGACTAAGAATGTTTCAAACTCCTCTTTTAGAGACGTGTGGTCGCGTAGAATCTCGTCGAGTTGTTCAATCAGAGTCTCGGTATCACCGAAAAACGCTAACGCACTTATAAACGCTTTGTACACACGATCGCCTAGGCCTTCGATTTTCTTCAAGAACCCGACCGTACGTTCCACGTCTGATAGCACGTTCTCATTCTTCTTGTTGTGTCTTATTAGAGGAGAAGCAAAACCCGACTTAAGCTGATGGAACTCGTTGCGTAAACCTTGGTGATCACGGAGAATCGAAAGGAGATGGTTTTCGAGACTGATGTAGGTTTCATAACCAGATCGATAACATTGAATCGCAAAGCAGAAGCGATTGTAGATGCGTGTTTCATCATCGGCCTGTTTCAGTTTCTTCATGAAATCGAAGATTCGTTGAGTCTCGTCCTCGGAATAATCTGTTGGAGTTTGATAAAACAAGTCTCTTGACGGTATTTCGTGGCTCATGGTACGTGGTCGCTTCTTGGAGTTTCTCATGGTTGTTGTTGTTGTTGCTTTCTTGTGTCTACTATTCATGAGCGGCTTTGAGTTTATGATGAGTTTAGCGAATGAAGAGAGGGTGTTAACGAGTGATGTATTTATACTAGTGTAGGGCTCTTTGCTTATTTCCTTTTTTCGTTTCTGCATTTATCCTAATACTACCTGAGTTGCGTTTATTCTACAGTTCCTAATCTTGTTTCCGTTTATATATTTCCTTTTTTCTTTGGAAGTTTCCATAAAGTTGAATAATTTCTGGATTTGTGGGACCATCTAATTTGGACTAACTACGGTATATATATTAAGGAAACTATGGAAAGCAAAAAAAGGAAATTACGTAGGCTTTTTTTTTTTCTTAACTGGCGTTCGTTATTGAAACAAAAGAAATATAGAGTTTACAGAAGGGAAAACAACACAGAATAATACATTAAACACGATAGAACCATATTGCAGGAAGGAAAAAAGAAAACATAATTTAGGGGCGGAAGGTCACAAACACAATCTGCAAAATCCTTTGGAAAATTCATTGCAAGAGACTCCTCTATCTTCACTTTCACTTTCTCATTTATTTGCTTGCTCAAGTTTGCAAGCTGTCTATTTCTAATCTGATAATACAATCTTTAGTGATCATAATTATAGAATATTAATTGATTTAATTTTCACCATCCCATGATCGATTAATATAAACATTTATTCATATTCAGCCAATAAACCCATATTTTCCGTTCGTACAGTTTTATACAGATTTGAATAATAACATATATATATATATATATATATATATATATATATATATTTTTTATTGTAACATTGGGAAACATTTTGAAACAATTTTATAAATATTTTCTGTGTTTGTTATTTGTTTTGTAACTTCACTATATAAAATCGATCGCAGTTTTGAAACATTTAGGTAAATAAATAAGAAGATAGATGATACTATAATGTTCTGTGTTTCAAAAAAAAAAAAAAGAAGATGATACTATAATGTTCTTATTCCTGAATGCAAAACATTATTTCACAGAAAAAAATTGAAAGACAAATCCTTTTTTTCTCACCAAATGTAAGAAACTTAACACTGAAAAACTGGTCAAAAGTCTTAAACTAAAATCACTCACGGTTTTGAATTTATTATTACAGGAAACCTGGGAGAAGCTCTACTAAAACACCAACCAGATGCACACCTAATATAAAAAAAAAACTCTCTTCACTACTTACATTACCCTTCTGATCGATTCGCACGGCTGTAGGCACGTATCATCCTACTTGTTTTCGCCTTTATCATCATCTTATGCTCATCCTCCATCCGAGGTAACATATGTATTGCGGCACGGTTCGGATATGTCTTATATTCTTGTGGCACCTCCTTACCATCGTAAAACCAGTCCAAGACTCTGTTAAATCCTAGTGGAGGCTTCTTTACGCGTTTCTTGCCCTTCAAGGCATCCTTAGCAAACCAAATAACCGCAGCTAGGTCACGCATGAGCATGTCGTCCTTCATGTATCTGTCCTCAAGGGTATTCCTTGGCTTATCGAGGCAACGCTTAATCTTCTTCTTTGATGCGACCTCGGGATCAAACGGACTGTCCAAATAGTATTTCTCATTTAAAACCCCATTAGAGGAAGATCCCACTTCAGCTTCAGGTCTAATCTGATACGATGGCGTGACCTCCACGCTTTCTTCGCGTTTGCGTTTGAGTAAACGGGAATCGACTAAGAACTTTCTAAACTCCTCTTTTAGAGACGTGTGGTCGCGTAGAATCTCGTCGACTTGTTCCATCAGAGTCTCGATATCAACTGGAAAAGCAAACGCACTTATAAACGCTCTGTGCACGTTATCGCCTAGGGCTTCGATTTTCTTCAAGAACCCTACCGTACGTTCCAGGTCTGATTCCGCGTTCTCTTTCTTCTCGCTGTTTCTAATTATTACAGGGGAATTAAAACTCGACAAAAGCTGAAGAAACTCGTCGAGCAAACCTTGGTTGTCATGGAGAATCGAAAGGCAACCGTTTTTTATATTGGTGTAGGTTGCATAACCAGATCGATATAACCGAATCGCACTGCAGAATCGATGGACGAGTAAGAGAGATGGTTCATCAAGATCGGCCTGTTTCAGTTTCTTCATGAACTCCAAGATTCGTTGACTCTCTTCATCCGAATAATCAGTCGGAGGTTGATAAAGCAAGTCTCTTGACGGCCTTCCCTGACTCCTCGTATGTGGACGTGGTGGTCTCTTGCAGTTTCTCATGGTTGTTGTTTTCTTGTCTCTAGCGGCTTTGAGTTTTATGATGAATGGAGGAATGAAGAGGGGGTGGTAACTAGTGGTGTATTTATACAAGTGTATAGGGCTATTTGCTTATTTCCTTTTTCGTTGTTGAATTTATCCTAATACCGCCTGAGCTACGTTTATTATATAGTTCCTAATCCTGTTGGAGTTTCTATATTTCCTTTTTTCGTTGGAATTTTCCACAAAGTTGAATAATTTCTTGATATGTGGGACCATCTAATTTGGACTAACTATGGTAAGCTTAAGTAAACTATGAAAAAGCAATAAAGTAAATTATGTAGATTTATTATTTTATTTTATTTTGGATTTCGGAATATGTAGCTTTACAAGGTTGTATTCATTTCTCCTTATGGATAAAAGTCGTTTGTTATTATATCTGATATTTTATCAACTTTTAGTTTATGAAGACAAAAGATTTGCATAAGAAATCGATATATGTAATTCTAAAGGTTTAATAACTGAACTATGTATCAAGATACCATGATTGGCATATTCAAGCAAATTGTGTTGTTACTGGAGAAGACTGTTAGAGTACGTGAGAGAGAAGAAGATGAACATTGAATCAAGAAAATTCTGTTATTTCTGTTACTTGTGAAAGTGTACAGAGACAAGCTTATAAAGAAGCTTGGTACAAACCGGGTTAACAAACCGGAAACTTAACCACACTAAACCATACGGTTATCTATTCTAATATTCCCCCTCAAGATGGCAAATATAGAGATTTCAAAGCCATCTTGCCCACCAAAGAATAGAACTGTGGAGAGAACAAAGCCTTGGTGAAAATGTCCGCAACCTGATCATTGGTTCGAACATGGAGAAGCTTGATGAAACCCTTCACAACACGCTCTCTAACTTGATGACAATCCAGCTCTATGTGCTTTGTACGTTCGTGAAAAACCAGATTAGTAGCAATGTGAATTGCAGCGGTTGAATCACAGAAGAAAGCCACTGGACCATGTTGAGGAGCTTGTAGATCATTCAAAAGATTTCGTAGCCATATAACCTCTCTTGAACCATACTCCATTGCTCTGTATTCTGATTCTGCTGACGAGTGTGAGACAGTCTGTTGCTTGTTAGACTTCCAAGAGATCAGAGCTTGTCCCAAGAACATACAATAGCCTGAGGTAGAACGCCTTGAATCCAAACAAGACGCCCAATCAGCATCAGTAAACGCCTGAAGCACCAAATTTGACTCTGCAGCATAGAATAAACCATAGCCAATAGTTCCTTTGAGGTAATGTAACACCTTGTGAGCAGCTTGAAGGTGAGAGTTCTTTGGGGCTGAAGTGTATTGACATAACTTGTTGACGGCAAAGGTGATGTCAGGTATTGTTATAGTCAAATACATTAAGCGTCCCAATAACCTTCTATATGCTGCAGGTTCATCAATAACTGGTTCTGCAGAATCTGAACAGAGTTTAGCATTAGGATCCATTGGTATTTGAGACGGCTTACAGGCTAATAGACCAGAATCTTCCAACAGACCAAGAGTATACTTCCTCTGACAAACAGATATTCCTTTGCTGGAACGAGCAATCTCGAGACCAAGAAAATAATTCAGAGGGCCAAGATCTCTGAGTTTAAAGGCATTACTCAAATCTGTTTTCAACTGATCAACATCACTGTCCATATTGCTAGCAATTATTATGTCATCCACGTATACCAACACTGCAGTGTATACTCCTCTGACATTGCGTATGAAGAGAGTATGATCAGAGTTAGATTGTTGAAAACCCAACTGAAGCAAAACACCTCTGAACTTCAAAAACCACTGTCTTGAAGCTTCTTTAAGGCCATAGAGCGATTTTTGAAGTTTGCAGACAGCATTTGGAGGCAAATGTTCCCCCTCTCTTGGTGTATACCCTGGAGGCAAGGTCATATAGATCTCTTCATCCAATTCTCCATTCAAGAACGCATTAGAAATATCCAGTTGCGTGAGACTCCATTTCTTTGCAGCTGAGACAGAAAGCAACATCTTGACAGTTGTCATCTTAGCTACAGGTGAGAAGGTTTCTGCAAAATCAATACCTTCCTGCTGTGTATAGCCTTTGGCGACAAGTCTTGCCTTATATCTTTCCAATGTTCCATCAGCATTAAACTTTAGTTTATACACCCATTTGCATCCAATGGCATGTTTTCCCGGTGGCAAAGAACATATAGACCACGTATCTGTGCTTTCCAAAGCCTTTAGCTCCTCATTCATAGCAGATATCCATTCATCAAATCGTTTGTCTTGAGTAAAGCTAGTTGGTTCAGGATGAATAGCAACCGCACAGATGTAGTTCTTGTATTCATCAGATAGACTCTGAAAAGACATGTAACTCGACATGGGATAAGGTATATCCGTATCACATTCTGCAATATTGCAGTAATAGTCTTTAAGATGAGCAGGTAGCTTAGAAATCCTTCTTTCTTCAGCTCTGCTACTCTTAGAAGACGTATCAACCTTTGGAGGCGAATCATTCATCACATCAGGTGACTCACTCTCTGAACTAGATAGATCTGCAGGTGCTGAAAAAATATCTTCATAAGTCTCAGACTGATCCTTAGCATAGGGAAAAATCTGTTCATGGAACACAACGTTTCTGGAAATGTGGATACTATTTGATTCCATATCCAGAAGTTTGTAGCCTTTGTAGCCAGCAGGATAGCCAAGGAAAATGCAGGGTTTTGACCGTGGTTGAAACTTGTGTATGTTCTTAGAAGATGTAGAGAAGTAAGCAAAACAACCAAAGACTTTAAGTCCAGCATAATCAACTTTCTTTGAGGTTAGAACTTCATAAGGAGATTTCTCGTTGAGAAGAGGAGTTGGTAACCTGTTGATTATGAAGACTGCAGTCAACACACAATCTCCCCAAAACTGCAAAGATAAGTGAGATTGGAACATCAGAGCACATGCAACATTCAAGATGTGCTGATGTTTCCTTTCTAACCGTATGGTTTAGTGTGGTTAAGTTTCCGGTTTGTTAACCCGGTTTGTACCAAGCTTCTTTATAAGCTTGTCTTTGTACACTTTCACAAGTAACAGAAATAACAGAATTTTCTTGATTCAATGTTCATCTTCTTCTCTCTCACGTACTCTAACATGGTATCAGAGCTTTGAGGCTGAAACCTCAAACGATTCTTCTTCTTTTCTTCTCTTATTGACCTAGATTGATCGATGAATCTCTCGTTCAATNTACCAAGCTTCTTTATAAGCTTGTCTTTGTACACTTTCACAAGTAACAGAAATAACAGAATTTTCTTGATTCAATGTTCATCTTCTTCTCTCTCACGTACTCTAACATGGTATCAGAGCTTTGAGGCTGAAACCTCAAACGATTCTTCTTCTTTTCTTCTCTTATTGACCTAGATTGATCGATGAATCTCTCGTTCAATCACTCTGTTTCTTCGTGATCGAATTTTCTGGTTATTCCGCCAAGATTCGATTTTTCTCGGGAAAATGGTGGTTCAACTTCGTAAATCGTTGCGTCGTGGTGGAAGATATACGACGTCGTCAGCTCGTCGCGTTCCTATTCCAGAATCTTCAACTCCGACGTCACCAGAAGCTCCGATTACAACAGAACCATCACCGGACAGTATCCATTCACCGTACTACCTCACTAATGGAGATAATCCATGTCTCTCTATAATCTCTGAGGTTCTAAAACAGAACTGCCCAATCTTTCTGCGTCCAAAACGTAAAGGTTTGATATCTGCTCACCCTTCCCAATCATCACTCCCTTGATATGATCATGTATCATACAAGCATCTGGGTCAAAGACAACCCTATATCCCAATTCCTTTGTGAGCTGGCTTACACTCAGGAGGTTTAGTCTAAAGTCTGGAAGATATAGAACATTCTTGAGGACTAATGAGTCAGTCAAGTGTATACTGCCTATTCCTGCAATCTTAATGCCGAGACCAGTAGGAAGTAAAACAGAGGTATTAACAGCATCAGAAAACTCAGAGAATAAGCCTTTATCATGAGTAACATGATGTGTAGCTCCACTGTCAACAATCCAAGACTTAGAACATAATGCATTTCTCGTAGCTCTAAGCATGCCTATAAAGCATAGAGTAGAGTTAGAGAAAGCCATACCAGGAAGAGCAGTGATGGTACCACCAGATGTTGAAGCAAGACAGTTCACTTGAGCTGGTTGAGACGACATCTGCGAGTTGAAATAAGCAATCATCCCTTCAATCTGATCTTTGGTGAGATTGTTGATCACAGTTGAGACTGGTTCTGAGATTGCCATCTGAGCTACAACCGGTTTCATATATCCAGCGCCTTTTGCAAACGTCTGTTTGTCAGCTTGCTGCTTTGTCTTACGTTTGAAACTCGCTGGGTATCCGTGGATCTTATAGCAAGTATCAACAGTGTGTCCATTGTAACCACAGTGAGAGCAAATGGGTCTACTTTGCTTACTGTGTACATTAGACTGTGCAGCATTGATGAGTGGCATTTGGGGTGACGCAGAAGTCTGAAAAGCAGTGGCATTCTGAACTGAAACCATGTTTCTTTGGTTGTAATCTTGATCCAAAAGATTGTAGATCTCAGAAAGTTCAGGCATGTGCTTCTTCATGATAATCTGACTACGAATGGTACCATATGACTCATTCAACCCAGCCAAGAACTTGATAATCCTTCCATGTTCAGCCTTTTTCTCTGTGGCTTTACAACAATCACAATGCCTGCATGTGGTTACACAGTTAGCACCATCCAACTCATCCCATAAAGTTTTCAAGGTCGTGTAGTAAGTCGCAAGATCCATTGATCCTTGTTGTAGTGACCAAATCTGTTGAGATAGTTGATAAGATCTCGGAATGTTGGTGATGTGAAACCGAGCCAACAAATCTTTCCAAATCTCTGAAGCATCATTGAATCTGAGAATGCTCTTATAGATCTGCTTTGACACGGTGTTAAGAATCCAAGATTTAACCATTGAATTACACCTAGACCAGATTCGATATTGATGATG